GGTGAGGATGGAGCCGAGCAGGGAGCCAGTGGAGGTGAGGATGGAGCCGAGCAGGGAGCCAGTGGAGGTGAGGATGGAGCCGAGCAGGGAGCCAGTGGAGGTGAGGGAGCCGAGCAGGGAGCCAGTGGAGGTGAGGATGGAGCCGTGGCCAGGCCGTGTGCTGGGCGTGCTGTGCTCCGGCCTGCGGGGGCTTGTGCGCTGAGCTGCAGCATCCCTGCTTTGCAGCAGACCCTGAGCTGACAGCTCCTTGTGCTCCCCTCTGGGCCCATCTCCCTTCAAACTGTGTGTCCAGGTGAGGCAGAGTGAAGGACTGTGGCTGGGTTAGCCCCTGCTGCTGCTGGGGAAGCAGTGAAGCAGTGAAAGGTGTTGCTGGGGGAACAGGAGAGCAGTCTAGGGCGGTGAGCAGGGACAAGAGGGGACAGCTCAGAGGTGGTGAGCGAGGACACAGCAGCTGGTCGGGCTCTCTGCGTGGTGGGCAGGCTGGGGGACGAGTACAGGACCACGCTAGGTGAGGGTTGGTGACAGTGTACTGTCAGAGTGGGTCTGTGAGTGAGAAGTGAGGCATTGAGGGACACTGGGGATGAGCCTGGAAAGGATTTGAAGGGGTGAGCTGAGCTTGCACAGGCTGGCCAGGTGCAGGCAGCTGCTGGCAGGGGGATGTGGCATTTCCAGGACAGGGTTTTTCAGTGCCAAGGCAGGTGGAGGCCGTGCAGGCAGAGCCTGCTCCGCTGCCAGGCTGGAGCAGAGAGGAAGGCACGGCGCAGTGTGGAGCAGGGAGCCAGGGCATGCAGCACCAAGCTGTGGAGTGTCCTCCCCCTAATCATCTAATCCTTTGGCTCCTCAGCCAAAGCCTTTTTCGTGCTCTCAAGTCACATTTTCAAACACTTCCCATCACCACAAACTCCCTGCTTTGCTTTATAGACAAACCCTCCCATTTCCAAGCAGTTGTTTTACCCCAGACCAAGCCTGGGAGCTGCAGTGCTGGCATTGGCACCTTCAGGGATGAGCACACTTCCAGCCCTCGATGGAGAGTGAATTGCTGCTGTCCACAGGGGTGCTTCATCACACCTCTGGTTTGCACCCTCTGGAAAAGTGAATCCAAATCCTCAGGGTCCCCTACCAGCTCTCGAGACACTTATGGCTGAAAGCCATCTGTGGGGGCTTGCAAGGGATCCAGAGCTTGTTCCTTTTCTGCAAACACTTCTATCACCTGCCTGGTGCTGAGCCTCTACGAGGCCATGATTGAAGGGGTATGAACCAAAGTCCTGATGTCCACCCTGCTTCATGTGGAAGCACTCAATGAGGTGGGGATTTGGCACAGTTTTCCTCCCCATCCTCCCTCCTGTCCTGCTTCTGCTTTGCTTTGTTGCTTGCTACTCTCACTTTCGCCAGCTCTGTCTCTGCTCAATCTGCCTGCAGCTAACCCCTGGCTGGCACCACCTCTGGGGCTCCTCCAGGGCTCAGCCTGGCTGCTGAGGAAGGTGCATCACTTCTCTCTGCCCCGGTGCCCTTGGGGCTGAGGGCTGCTGAGGAGCAGTGTGTGCATGAGATCCTGGGGTCAGCACGAGCTGTGCTGTGCACCCTCCACCACACAAGACTGAATGGACTTGAGGAACCAGAGGGTCAAGTGGGAAGGAAAGAAGGACATGTTTCAGTGTCCCCAGCAGTGCCTGGTGTCCAGGGGAGCTCTGCACCAGCCACAGAGCAGGCAGAGTGGGAGAGGATGCTGTTTGGTACCTGGTGCTCCTGTCCTCGAGGCACCACTGTCTCCATATGCCCTGTCCCACATGTCCCCACGTGCCAGCCCCTCTGCTGGGGAGCCGACATCCCACTGCCAGCTTGCAGCAGCTGAAGGTGCAGTCAGGGGGTGTGAGGCTGGTCCAGCTGGGAGGGAGAGGTGGGCATGACAGCAAGCACGAGGCACGGCGCTTACAGGGTAGGGAGGGTTGAGCTTGGACAGGGATTTCGGTGTGGGCAGACAGATCATTCAGGGGAAAGGACAGCAGGAGCTCAGCTCTACACACGAAGCAGAGAAGGGAGAGCCTGAGAGGAGCAGCAGCAGGCCAGAGGTCTCTTCCAGGCTGGGCTGCCTCAGGAAGCAGGTGGGGGAATCATCTCCTGGGCCACGGCTCCGGTCCATCCCTGCCGCACACACAGAGCTCAGGCTGTGTCCCGTGAGGGGCTGTGGGGACCAGCTGTGGCCTTGGGCTCCTGCCCCACACTCTGCCCACAGGGGACAGTGGCAGGTGCCCCACAGGGGACAGTGGCAGGTGCCCCACGGGCCGAGGGGGTGCTGCCAGGGCCGGGTGGGATGCTGCCAGCCTCATGCTGCACCGTGGGTGTACACATGTAAATGACCCCTCCTAAGTCAGCACTGCCTCCAAGACTCCTCTCTAGCCTCTCACTTTTGTTATGGACCTTGACAGGGGTTTTATAGCTATATTTTTTGTCCTTTCTTTTCCTACAACTGTCGTATTACTAACTGTTGACTCAATCTGTCTGGGAAGCCAATCTGTCAATGTAAGTGCACTTAACCCTTGGGTGTTGTCATTAGTCAACTGGCTTTTGCTAAATAAATCTTTCTATTTCTCAAGGCTTTCTGTTGTCTCTTTCTTCTCACTGACTCTGTCTTTCTGTACTTCCTTCCCTCTCCATGCTGGCTGCCAGCACCAGCAGTGGCATCCTCTGGCCTTGCAGAGACCCCCTCCAACCTAAGCTTCCTCTCCTGTGGGACCCCTGCTCGTGGTGCCAGCCCCAGGATGCCCACGAGAGCGAGGTGCCCAGAATATTGCTGGGAGTAGAGGTGTTTCAGTCCTGCCCTTCAGCCACTGCACATCACAGGCTTGTCTCAGGGCTGATCCAACAGCTTGAGGGAGCCAGGGGCTTCCTGGCATCTGCAGAGCTCCCCACGGAGATGCAGAGGTGCTAATCCGCACTTCCAGGGGCTCGGGGAATTTTTGGCTGCAGGAGAAGGAAAAGTAGGGAAGAGGTGTCTTAAAGGATGGCAGAAGTGTTGTGCAGACAAAAGCAGCGCACAGGCAGGAGCCGGCTGCTCCTGAATTCATTCTGCTGCTGGCAGGAGCGGTGGAGCAGTGCCCTCCCGTGGCAGCCGCCTGGCTGCTGGGGCTGCACAGACACCCCGGGGGCTGCATGGACACCCCGGGGGCTGCACAGACACCCCGGGGGCTGCATGGACACCCCGGGGGCTGCACAGACACCCCAAGGGCTGCACAGACACCCCAAGGGCTGCATGGACACCCCGGGGGCTGCACAGACACCCCGGGGGCTGCACAGACACCCCAAGGGCTGCACAGACACCCCGGGGGCTGCACAGACACCCCAAGGGCTGCACAGACACCCCGGGGGCTGCATGGACACCCCAAGGGCTGCACAGACACCCCGGGGGCTGCAGCCTCCTGTGCCTTGAGCTCCTGCTCCCGCAGGAGCTTGGGCCTGCAGGAGCCCTTTGCAGCTGTAGCCCTCCTGGAGCTGTGCTGGATGTGGGTCTGGAGCAGCCACGCTGTGGGGAGGATGGGGCAGCACTGGTTGCCATGCTGGAGCACAGGCTGGCACTTGGAAGCTGTGAGTTTGTCCTGGACCGTGATGCTGGCTCTGCTGCTGGCCAGCCGGTCCCTCTTGGGCTGGAAGTCATCTGGGGAGCCAGAAAAGAGCTCTTCAAGAGGTTGTCAGGCTGCTTGCACCCCCGAGAGCTGGTGTCCAGGCTGGAGGAGAGGCTGCCCAGACACTGCTGGGTGGCTCTCTTGGTGCAGATGAATAGCTGTAGGATGAACCCCAGGGCAGGTAGATGCTGCAGGTGCAGGCAGGGAGCTCGCTGTTCAGCAGGACTGTGTGGCCACAGAAGGCAGAGGAAAAGGCCTGCAGTAAGTTGGGTATCCCTGTAAGAGTCCAGCCCACCACGAGGCTGGAGCAGTGCTGGGAACCCTTCCTCTCTGCCTGTCCCATGGGATGTGGAGAGGGCTGTCTCTGTCCCAGTATGTGCTCCTGGCAAGCAGAGGTAGAGTTGGACAGAGGATGCTGATGGGCAGTGAGGCCCCAGAACAGCTCACCCAGGAGCTCACCCAGGAGCTGGCTGGAGCCATCACAAAGACCCACACTGACACAGAGGCAGCCACAGGGCTGTGAGCTGGCACTCCTGGGGGCAGCCCCCACAGCTTCAAGGCTAATGGCAGTCCCAGCTTCAAGGACTCTTGCTGGGAAGACACGGTGGAGAAGCCAGTGTAGCTCAGAGGTGGGGTGTGATTGCAGAGCGCTCTCCCCAGCAAGGACCTGCTGCCACCACCAGAGACAGCCTGGGCTTAGCTGAGGGAGCCATGGTGGGGTGGGCAGTGCAGAGCCCAAACTGTGGGTGCCCCGAGAGGAGGCCCCGTGGCTTTACCAGGGTGTGGCTGACAAGGGACCCCCATGTGAGTCCCATCTCTTCAGGCAGCACGACAGGTCTGAGGAGGGGTTTGGCAGCACACCTCCCCTGGCAGGGTTGGAAGGGACACTTCACTTCCACACCTCTTCTCTTGCCGTTCCCCTGGTAAATGCTCGCTTACTCTCTCTTTTTCCACAACCTGCTTCCCAAGTCGCTTGGTGTCAGGTAAGAGAAGCTCTCAGCATGTTGGCAGTGCCAATGTGGAGCCCGGGCTCGCTGCTATCCTGTCTTGCCCCACGCTGGTCCCCCGTGCATGCACTTCCCTGGGCAGCCCTGGCTGCCCACAGCCTCTGCAGGGCTGTAGGAACATCCTCCCAGTCCCCAGATTTGTGTTCCCATAGTGCTGGCGGGCCAGCCCTGCTGGGATCCCCCCTCCAGCCTGGCTCACGTCCTGTCTATTCCCTTTCCCCCTCCAGTGGACCAGAGCATGTTTGAGAACGCCAGCGCCGGCACGGCACCCACGCCACGGGCCCAGCACGGCGCCCGCGCTGGCGTTCACCTCCATGGCTCC